CGGCGTTGTGTGTGTGTGTGTGTGTGTGTGTGTGTGTGTGTGTGTGTGTGTGTGTGTGTGTGTATTTATCTCATACAATTACATACGTTATATAACTTTTCAAAAATTTTATTGACTTTATTTTATTGACTATGTTTTAGAAAAACGTAAATTATTATTTATAATTATATAATTATATAATTATGCATTATACAATATAAGAAACTTATTTTGTCTTTGAAAAAAATTGTTTTACTATAAAATTGTTTATTTTTATTTTTAGTTACTTTTTTACGTTTATAATTTGTAATTGATAATTTTTTAATATTTTTAGACAGATAAAAGTTATTTATATATTAAACTTTATTTTAGATCATTTTCTTATATTCTCATATTTTACATTTATTTTATTAAACTACAGTTAAAATATTGTATTTTTACTAAAATATATTTTGTTAAGATAGTTTGTTTTTTCTCAATGTATAAACTGTATGTTTTGATATTTAAAATATAGTGTATAATGACATTTATATTTTTAAAAAGATCTTCTATAATAAGAATTTTATTAAAATAATATATTTTGCATAATTTTAAAAAAATTATATATCATATAAGAAAATGCTCTTATATAAAATGTATCTTGTGAAATTTGATAAACGCATAAATATTTTTATTATATTTAAAAAATAATCTTGAATATTATTTTTAATGTATCATGTTCTGGCAAGATGTATAATAGAGAATAAAAAATGTCTATTTATCTTATAAAAAATATTTATAATATTTGTTAATAATAGTTTTATTTGTAATTTTTTATAGAATCTTGTAAACACGCACTTGTATTACACGCACGTTATGCAATTAAAATAATTTTAACAATGCTTTTAACTGTATTTCTAAAATTTCAACAGGTAAGATTATATTTAACTTTGGAATAACTTCACTTACTGTCACTTACTGATCACAACTGAATCACTGCCACTTATCTCTTTGATGTATATAATAAAATGCCTTTATATAAGATAACTTTGTATCTGCACGATAGCTGTTTAATCGACTGAATGAAATAGGTCATATTATAGGTCATATCATTTGAAGCAATAAAATGAAAATACAATGAAAAATGATGTATGTTATAGTTGAAAAAGCATCATACAGTTTGTATTTTATTTTTTGCAGTGATTAACTATATCTTTAGAAGACATGTATCAATAATAATGAGATCGTAATGTAATAAACAGTTATTAATAAATAATTTTGAGAATTATGATTTCATCAAAAAATAGACTTAATGTACATCACAAACATTCTTAATTGTATATAAAATTTTTATGTATATATATTTTATTATATATATATATGATTATATGATCATATGATATATATGATCATATTATTATATCTGATCATCACGCGCTTATCGCATTGTGATTTGTTACCAAACGAACAATTTCTAATAACACGTTAAATTTATAAACTTTATTTTATTCTATTCAACACTTTTACAAAATGAGTAAATAAGATTAATGCATTACATAAAAAACATATCAATAAGATATATTGGTAGAAGTAAAATAAATACAATTTACATTATATTATAAATGGCAATAAAAACAAAAAAACATAAAAAATTCCATTCTATTTTAAAAATATTGCGATCACATTGCATTTACTTTTTGCCTCTTAATTATATTAATATCATGTACATCTGTGATTAATTACTGTACTTCGTTATTTTATATTAATAAATTATTTATATAATCAAACATTTTCAACATTTAATTGATTAATATTTTAAAGAAAGTACGAAACAAAATATTTTTAACTTGTAAATTTCTTATCAGTAATGATAACAATATAAAAGATATATAAATTTTCAAAATGCATGATATTTCTGCTGGCAATTACTCACACAGCACGAAGCAAAACAAGTAAACCAAACAACATTGCACGAAGATGATAATAATTAAATCACTTACTTTTTAAATAGATTGTTTTTCTGAGCACAGTATATAAATTAACAATTGATCAAACGGCTTTAAACGGGAAGATTTATGATGATCATTCGACGTTTCAATTGACACTCCCAATAAGAACTTAAGCCAGTATTCATAATTAGTTCTTATATTTAAGATCGTCTTAAATAAGCTCATACAGCTATTCTATTGGTTGGAATGTTATCTTAAGATGATCCTAAATATAAGAACTGGCTATACCGGTCTTAGACTTGTTATTTAAAAGTTAAAAAGTCCAAACTCCGACAAGAATGCATCTAGACGTAAATAAAATGTCGACAATTTATTAACATTCATTAACATATCGTTATCAACATTTGCTAACATGAGTCGCGTAAAAGTGTATTATTGCTATTGTTAAAATATTGTTATAAACATCTATTATATTATTATTTATAATATACATGTGATAATATAGTTGTTAAAAGTAAACAATATCTATAATAATATGTATTAAAGAAATATTTTATACCATTACCATTACCATATATTATATTAATAATATATAGTATAATATACTATATTCTCAATTTATACAAAGTTACAAAGTTATATAACTTAAAAAGTTTGTATTTATTGATTATAATATAAAATATTTTAATAAAACTAAATTAAAAAAACGTTTGTTAGCGTAGTAAAAAATAAATATATATATATATATATATATATATATACAGGATGTCCCGCAACACCGCTCGTGAAAAGGTAGATGGGAGCAAGATAAATGAAAATGTTTTATACCATATAGGAAGCCGCTCACATTTTCTATTCATCCTGGATCATGGATCAGGCGGACGAGCACTTTCTCCCCGCGCGTTCTTATTTGTGCAACTTTAATATTTAATAACTCGAAAATTATTGCGAATATCGCAAAATGATATAAGACATTTTCATTTATCTCGCTTCTGTTTACCTTCTCACGAGCGATGTATATACAGGGTGTCCGACATGTCGGGATTATATCACCTCTCGTGTGCAAGTAGAGCTGGTAAGCAGCGAGCGGTAAGATATTCTTCAATATATTATTCTTCAATATAATTATTGCCGCTTGAAGTAAACAATTCCTCACGCGCCTATCAACGATGATCGCCGGACGAGAGTATCTTACCGCTTGCATTTGCCGATGGATCGGGCTAATACTGTGATTTTTAATAATTAATAAATCGATAATCATCGCGAAAATTGCAAAATGATACAGGATTTTTCTACTCAGTTTTACCAGCTTTATCTGCATACGAGAGATGATATGACCGATGCCGGAGACTCTGTGTATATATATATGCGTATATATATGCGATGCGTATATATACGATTCTTGATAAAAACTCAAATTGTTATGCATTATTAAAAAGATTATAAAGATCAACAAGAATAAATGTAAATAGAATTAAAATATCAATAAATTAATAACATTCTTAATTAATATGAATTTTGTTTAAAGACGTGTTATTTCTATTGGTTAAATATTTGTATTTAATATAATTCGGTCATGTCAGTTCTGTACGTCAGAAAATTTGGCTAATAATTTTAATGACTATACTAAAATACATTATGCAAAATAAAATCACAAATATCATAATATACATTATATCGTATTATTTGCAACACATAAAATGAGTTGACAGTTAAATTATTGTAACAATTTATTATTTATTGTAACATTTATTATAATACAAATAAGATACATAATACATATTTACATATTCTATCTTACATAAGTTGTAAACGAGTCTAATAAACACTAAATATACAATAGTGGAGCATTTAGAAGATATTTAAAGTATATAGGTAACAATATTATATTATTTAATATTTATTTATCAAAGATGCTGTAGCACCTCATGCAAATTAGAAAATTATTAGAGATATTATATTAAATATTATTTATAATATCTTTGCAACTAGACTGTTTTAATAGCGCGGTGAAAAATAGAAGCTCATACATCCTTATTCATCTTATCCTTCGCCTTGTTCATCTTTATATAAGTGACATGCGGACAATGAAATTTTTTATAACGACTATTGTCGTTATTGTGTGCTTAATCGTGCAGATATGACTTGTTTTGTACTTACCAGAGTCGTAAAAATGGACGACAGCTAAAATTATCATCGGACATTATATGTGAAAGCATTTTTTCCACTTCTTTCAACAGCTGTCAAGTCGTGTGTTTCTTTTCTGAACAAGTTTCATTTTATATTTTGCCTTTTACAGCTATTTATTGACTATTAGGGAAAAAGATAGCAGCCGCCCATTTTTACAGTCAAGTGTCTTAAAACCATAACAGGTGTCATTTTAGTCAAATATCTCTTTATTTGCAAAACTACCGTCATAAACTTTATTGTATTATTTCTCGCCTATGACGTTACGATTCCAATATGCCCGCAGTGACTAATCAGAAGCCTTAACTATGTCTTTTTCGAAATTTCTCGCACATTAGTTTGTCAGCTAAAATTTTTAAAAATAATCAAAAACGTATTTTGGAGGTAATTTAACGACATTTGTCTCAAACTTTCTCTTAAACTTTCTCTAAATTTTAACTTGACGTGATAACGCATTTTTCCTTACAGATTTGAAGTCGGCGTATAAAAAGCTATGGAAAATTATTTTTCTTTTTCAGAAACTCAGAAAAAAATAAAATTTTGCAGACTTGTATTATAATTAACATTATTATTGCAATAAATTTATTATTATAAATATAAGTAACAATGCAATAATGATGAAATACAGTATTAATTTTTTATCGTTTACTAATATTTTCATGAAAGAATAAATTATAAACGATGTACAAATGAGACAATTAATATAAAGAAATATCAGTTTATTAATTTTTCACGTTAAACAACGAGATACAGATAGCAAAGTTATAAGTCCCAGTATCATCGAAGAAACGCAAACGATGGATAGTGTGTCTCGATTATAATTAGGACAAAGTTCTTTATCTTTGCATCTCCTAAAAGAAATATATCAAAATTACAAAAAAAATAGTGAAATAATTAATCAAAATTGCGATACATTTAATAATTATAAAGATGTCCTCAAAATAAAATAAATTTAACATTATGCAGTATAAGTCGTTATGAAAAAATTGCAATCTGTCAAATAAAATTTTCATTATTATTAACATCGCATTACTCACCATTGTTCAATTAATATTACCACGAGACCAGTAATAATTTTATCGAGAAAAGTGACAATCGAATACACAAAGGCGCTACGTTCTGTTCGAGAGCCGATTAATTCGGCGGTGACGCTCAATGCGGTAACCATCGTAATGGAGCTCCCCGCGCCAATTAATACGGCGACGAGATATACAATCGTTGTGCTATTCCCGACAAATTCTGTGACAATGGCAGCAATTATGCCAATTATAGCGCCGAGAAGATAGCAAGCCTACAGTTCAACGGAATAAGATTTTATCCAAAATCTGTGTCTTCTTCTTCTTCTTTTTTTATTATCAAAGTACTACCTTGGTACCACAAATTCTGGTGATGTATTTGAGCAGCAAAGCGGCCACGAAGGAAGATACGTATGAGACTAACGGCACGGTGGCTAACGCCTGCTTGCCATCAACTTTCGTTTCTTCTATGTACAGCGGCAAGTATACCGTGGCCAGAGTGATAAATAATCTGCTCGCCACGTATAGCATCGCGACTCTTAACAAAATCGTGATGCCGATCCACGATATCCGACGATTAGGCGAAAGATCTGACGATTTAGTTGGCTCCTCGATGTTCGCTTTCGCGGATGTTGTTTGCTCTAAAAGATTGGCTTTCAGGAAAATGTGAAAAAAGACGGTCGCGGTCAGACCGAGAGCCGTGAGAACCAAAGAGATATTCTGCAAATTAAAATCACACATCATTCTTTTTGTTTTTTTTCTTTTTTTTTGTTAATGCACATAATCTTTTTACATACTCTGAATTTATAATCATCTTGCTGATCTAATTGAACTATTAATTCGCCGCTGGTTGGTAGAACTATCCATGTTACTATGAAAACTATTACGGCCGCACCAACTTGAGCGGAATATCTACAATTAATTAAATTTGTGTTGAAATAACATTAGTTCTTATTTTTTTGAAGCTAAATTCTTGAATTTGTCCGCAATATTACGTATTATATACAATGACAATGATCGAAGCGTATACGTTTCTCTATAATGAAAAAAAGATATAATAACAATTGCCAGAATTAAGTAACTACTATTAAACTACTGTTATTAAGTGACAATAAGAAATCGTCGATAATAATTATTATAAATAATTTATCGTTGGATGTATGAAATACATTCAGGTCAGAAAATCAAGATTTAATAAAAATAT